TGAAAGAATATGATAGGAGTCTAGGATAGGAGGAAGCTCTGATTTTAAACACCAGTGCTACAGCAGAGGAATTAGCCTCCACCACACATCTGCCTTTTCAGCTGATATCCAAGTGCATCAAATTAGGGGAACCTGAATCACATCCAAATCCTGGTTGAAAGTAAATCAAGGAAATGTAGGTTTTTTCCCTCCTTTTTTGTGTGTGTTTTCTAAATTTTCAACTAAGAGGAAGTTCAAATTTGAGTTTCAAGAACCAATTCAAGTAGCTACTATGTAAAGAAATTCACTTAGATGATGGGTTGCATGAATGTCAATAAATATACGAAAAAAGTACCTAAAATTATTTTGAATTTTGCTTATATACCTTAACATTATTGAAAAATAGTCATTTTTACTAATGTGCAAATGAATAGGATCTGGCACAATTTTGTAGTTCAAACTGGAACAGTGTAAATTTCTGAAAACTAACATATCTATCTCTTTAAACACTGTCACATAAACTACAGATGTAGTTTTTTGTTGTTATATCCCTGTGTCTCTTAACCCTCTCTATTATATCTTATGTAAACTTTTACCTGAATAATCCAAATAATTTTTACATCATTTTCCCTATTTGAAGTTTGTCATGTAGAGCAGAGTACTAAAGCTTCTTGGTGAAAGTTGACTTGACTCAAATGGCCTGTCTTTCTCCATAGATAATAAAGTGTTTTATTTTCCAATAATCCTTACTGAAGTATATTTTAAAGTGAGAGAAAGCTGGAGAATCTTTATTTTATTGGAATTTTAACCTACTAATTTTCACACTGGGCAGGCAAGCTGCCACTAACCTCAGGCAAGTCAATTTTCCATTTGCCTGACTCTCACAGGTAACTAATGGTGGACAAGGGCTGACTGCATACTTGCTGTGCTGACTCGCTTTGAGGATTACCTGCTATGTAAAATTGACTTTAAGACACTTTATTATTATTCTCCTCTTACAGCAATATAATAACACCCCCACTTCTCTCCCATTAGATAACTCTTGTTCTAGTGAAGCCCATTGGTCCTCCTAAAACAGGTGAAATTAATCTTATTAACTAATTTAATTGTAAATTCTTATAGCTTGATGTGTTATCTTTCTTTGTCTTTATTTATTTGTTTATTCATATTTATTTATTTTGAGAGAGGGTCTCACTGTGTTGTCTAGGCTGGAGTGCAATGTCACGATCATGGCTCACTGTAGCCTCAATTTCCCAGGCTCAGTTGATCCTCCCACTTCAGCCTCCTGAGTAGATGAGACTACAGGCATGCACCATCACACCTGGCTAATTTTTGTACTTTTTGTAGAGGTAGTGTTTTGCAATGTTGCCCAGGGTGCTCTTGAACTCCTGGGCTCAGCCACCCACCTGCCTCGGATTCCCAAAGTGCTAGGATTACAGCCATGAGCCACTGTGACCAGCTGGCATAATGTATTTTAAACTCTATCCAGCATTATTCAGGTGTGGTTGAGGAAGATGTTTTTGATCAGGACAACTCCTAAATCACATTTTATAGATTGCAGTATTATATCTGCCTGATTTACTACATGAACAAGAGATTTATTGAGTGATATACGTAAAGATCAATTGTTTGTATAGGCAACTGAGGGCTACTCATCAACATACAGATTTATACTGATTGTAGTAATATCTTGGTTATATGGAAGACATAAAATTATTGCATTTTAAAGATATGACAGCAGAAATAGAGTATCTTTACAAGTTAACCAGATATTAAAGAATTCAAAACAAAGCAATCCAGTCTATGAATCAAATGAGATAGAAGGTGATTCTTTATATAACATATTGTTTACTAATGTATACCTCAGATAAATTTTTTTCAATAGAGAGTATGTCTGCAGTAGTAAATCTGCTTAAATATCAGTGAAAGCATTCCAAAACACACTCAAGCATTAGTAAATTATACTCTCATTTTTAAATGAAAAGACTGAATTTTTTATGAATTTTAAATGAAATGAAAAGTTGTCCTGATCTTATGTTACAAGATTGTTTGTTTAACCCAATAAATATTCTGAGAACTGAGTGAGCAATATCTGCAAGTATCACTTTGTCCACATTGTGTCTTTGGATAAAGTAAATGGTTGATTGTCAGGGCCCTTTTTATGAAGAAGGAGATGTCAGGAGACAATGTCCAAACATTGACCAGACTTTCTTACATGGCATATAAAACTTTGGTAATATGTCCAAAAATGATATACTCTCAGTATGCACTAAGCTCCAGGTAACTAACAAAGGATGAGACCACCAAGCAATACCCCAAACACAAAACACAAAGAAGAAAAATAATATATTGCTTATTTAAGTGAAAAAGCCTATGCTGGTCAAACATATGCTTTTAGAGCAGAGCAGGACTTTGCTCTTAAACATAAATTTTATGTGTAAGATTTTTAGGAAGGGAGGAATTCAGAGTCTGCCAGATTTCAGAGGTGGGAGTGAGTTGTTTTTAACTACAGATGTATGCCTGATCAAGTGAGACTTCCTCATTAGTTAACATTCAGAAGCATGTTCATAAGTGTTAATCTACTTCTGATTGCCTAACTTTTAGAAGCAAAGTGCTGTCACTGGTTGGTTGGCTTGCAGAAATATATTCATTGAGTTGTCCACATTGATAAATAATGATATGGCTACATAATTATCAGATTTTTTTCCCCTAAAAGTAGAAAATGTTTTTTCCCTTTAGCATAATTATCTTCAATAATGTAGAGAGTAGCAAAGTTATGAAAAAAAGCTGATCATCACTGGTCATAAGAGAAATGCAAATCAAAACCACAATGAAATACCATCTCATGCCAGTTAAAATGGCGATCATTAAAAAGTCAGGAAACAACAGATGTTGGAGAGGATGTGGAGAAATAGGAACACTTTTACACTGTTGGTGGGATTTTAAACTAGTTCAACCATTGTGGACGACAGTGTGGCGATTCCTTAAGGATCTAAAACTAGAAATACCATTTGACCCAGTAATCCCATTACTGGGTATATACCCCAATAATTAGAATTCATTCTACTATAAAGACACATGCACATGTATGTTCATTGTGACACTATTCACAATAGCAAAGACTTGGAACCAACCCAAATGCCCATCCATGATAGACTGGATAAAGAAAATATTGCACATATACACTATGGAATACTATGCAGCCATAAAAAAGGATGAAGTCATGTCCTTTGCAGGGACATGGATGAAACTGGAAACTATCATTCTCAGCAAACTAACACAGGACAGAAAACCAAACACTGCATGTTCTCACTCATAAGTAGGAGTTGAACAATGAGAACACATGGATACCGGGAGGGGAACATCACACCTCAGGGCCTGTTGGGGTGTGAGGGGCTAGGGGAGGGATAGCGTTAGGAGAAATACCTAATATAGATGATGGGTTGATGGGTACAGGAAACCACCATGGCATGTGTATACCTATGTAACAAACCTGCATGTTCTGCACTTGTATCCCAGAAATTAAAGTATAATTCAAAAAAAATTTACAAAGACATTTTCAGGATGCTTTATGTTGCAAGTAATGGAGACCAAACTCAAACCAGCTAAAACCATAAAAAATGTTTTTGGTTTACATAAGAGAAAGTACAGCAAAAAGTCAGATTTCAAGAATTGACTTAATTCATCTGTGAATCTCTTTACCTAAATTTTCTAATTCTCCCCTCTACACAGTGTTGGCACCATCTTCAGGCTTTAGAGGAGAGATTAATTCCTAGAATAAGATGGCATCCAAGGAAAACAGTGTTAGCTTTATTAATCAGGAAGATTATTTTTCAACAAATATTGATCTTTTATTATTGATCTCAGTTGGATTACCTATAAAAATTTGAATCAATCAATGTGAAGGGAGAGGAATTACTTCTAGACCAATCAGACTCACCCCCAGATTTGTGGATGGGTTCACCCTGAGGTGTGTGGGTAGGATTGACACTTGAATAAAATCATGGATCTACAAGGATAGAGGAAGAGAGAATAGATGCTGGAGGGAAACCAATAGTCTACTATATGTCATAAAATGAGAAATACAGTACCTAATATCTGTATTTAACATTTATTATATATTTTCCCTTTTTATTTTATTTGATGCTCATAACCATTATTGATGGTTTTCGGAACAGTTACTTATTTCTTTCAAATCTTTCAACTCCTTTAGGCCTACCCTGCATTTATCCTCATTAAAAAAAAAAAAAAAAAATTCCAATAGAAGCCCATATTCCATTCCTGAAGACAAAATCACCTTGCTCCTGTATGCTTTTCTCTATCTTTAAGGCACTTCATTTATTTATCTTGGAAGTTCTATTGATTTTTTAAGACATTTCTTAGCCCTTCTAACTGTAATTTGTCCCTTTATCATATTGGTCTCAGTGCTTTGTACATATTTCTGTAATAGCATTTTACAAGTTTGTTTTATACTTACATATTTATGTACCTATTTCACAGCTATGATGTGAATCTGGAGGTGAATGGGCAAGGAAGGAAGGGATCAAGGACCTTATTTTAAATATCTTTGCATTTCTAGTAGCTAGCAGTTCCTGGAAGACAGACATTCAATAATCATTAAATGAGTAATCAAGGCAGAAGACTCATAGTTGTGTAACTTTGGTAAAATCCATATATTTGTCCTTTCTTCACTTTTCAAATGGCAAAAATGAAGTTAATATATGGAGAGTGTATAATGAGCATTATTTTCCATGTTTATAAACTTAAAATGAGATGTGTGAGAAAATCTTTTGCAAAAGGAAACTCATGGAGGTAAAATGTAATACTATTATTGTTATTATCATTCATTCACTCTCTATATATTTATTGTTTATTCGGTCTCAGGTGCAGCACATGGAACATACTGCAACCTGAAGGAAATGGTCGCTTACTATTTCTTTTAACATCTCTGCCCCTATTGTTAACTGAGACAAAACAATCATTTGGAGTGTTTTTGTTTTTGTTTTTGCTTTCATTCACAGATGGACCTTCTCCTACAAGTCTTATCTTTGAAGTCTCCAAAGTCTTGGCGTTTTCCAGGCCAAAGACTTAAAGGCCAAGTGGACCCTAGGGGAGATCTAGTGTCCCATCCAGACAGCCAAGCTCAAGCATCCCTGGATTTGGATGGATGGTTTCCCATGGGGCCTTGGACAGATTGGACCCAGCACTGGCACAGGGTTGACTTGGAAGAATAAGCTCCTGGAAACCTCGATTAGTGTTTGGTGTATGAACATTAAACAATACTGAATCTGGAAACAATACATCACACAGCGGGTCCAAGGAAATAAGCAGAAGGCTGGCAGCAGGCCAGGGCCAGGGGCCAAATCGCTCCTCAAGGACAATTCTTCATGGAGAAATGACAGCAGGCTTGAGGACAGCAGGTATGACCTAACAAGATAATGATATTAATTACATTTTGAAAATGGAAAGAGGACAAAATGAAAGTGGTTTTTATTTTGCCTATTTAATAACAGATTTTACTTCTTTTGCCCAGCTATCTTGAGTCTGAAAGAAATGGATTTAGTTTTAAAAAATAAGGCAATATTAACTTATACTAAACATTATTGCACCCCAGACACTGTTATATTTGTTTGTTTTAAATGTGTATTGACTTAATACACATAAATAACCTTTGGAATGGGTAGAGTTATTATCACCATTTTACAGGGAAGAAAAAGGGAGACAAGAGAGGTTAGGCAACTTGCTCTGGGTCACACAGCTAGCAATGATGGAACTAGAAATCAAACAAAGGTAATGTGGTCCCAGAGACCACTCTTTTAAGCATGATGTTGTACTGCCTCTATATTCTGTCATAATTTAAGAGAGGGTGAAATTCACCTGGATGGACAAATAACCCAATGAAACATAAAATTGAATTCAGGAACAGGCTCTTGCACATACATACTCTTGCTATATGATAGAGGTGGAATACAGATCAGTCAGGGAAAAGATTTGACTCTTTAATAAAAAGTGATAAAGAAATTGGATTTTCATTAGGGAAAATATAAATTTAGGTGCTTACCTCATGCCATGTGCAATAATTAAACCTAAGACTGAAGAGTTACATGTGAAATGCAAAGCTTTTCAACTATCAGAAAAATGCATTTATTGCATTTGAGAACAGAATAATTTTTTAAAGTATAAACTGTGTAGGTATTTTAAAAAGAATTAAGTTATAATTTAAATTTTTAATTCAACAAGATACATATTTTAAAATGAAAATACAAGTTTACAATTATAGTAAATATTTGCCACACATGAAATCAACAAAAAATTTGAATCTAGAATATGTAAAGCACTTCTATGAGTCAAATAAGTAAATATATACACAACTTAAAAACTGAAGCAAACATATAAAGAGATTTCACAGAAAAGGAAACATTAATGGACAACAAACATGAAGTAATTCTCAAGCTCATTATTAATCAGGCAAATTCAAACAAAGCCATAAAAGCTTTCATTTCACATTCAGCATTTCGGCAAAAGTTAAAATTTATGACAATGTCAAGAGTTGGCAAGGATGTGAGACAGAGGTGAATGTTATAGACTGCTCTTGGGGTAGAAGTGTATGTTTGCATAATCTCTCTATGAAATAATTTGTCACTACTTGGTAAGCTTGAAGATGTCCAAACTCTAAATTTGAAAGGACAGTTTTCTAACCTCTCTTGTATCTCCGTGTCTTCATTTGTACATTTTACCTAACTCACAAGGCTAGTGTAACGATTTAATGAGTTATACATATAAAGTGCTTTGCTTGGAGCTTGGCATGAAATGAGCAGTGTTATTTTTTTTTTCTGAGATCTTAGTTTGCACATGTCTGTACATCTTAATTGAGATTTAGTGGTCATAGCTTTTAAAATATTCTTTAAATATGGTTTCTTTGTATCACTTGATCAGGATTCCCTCATGTCTATTATATCAGATTGGGACCTTCAGGATCTAGCATATCATCTTTATAGGAGTATCCATTCAGTGGATTTTATTATTGGCTGAAATTTTAAGTGTTAATTGACTTAAATTTTCCTTTTGGTATTCCTGTATCTGGTTACTGTGAATGGTCTTTGTGATAGAGGATTGCTAGGTGGTTACTTTAGGTTGGATAGTTGAAAAATAGGAAAAGAGCATTCCAGATGGGGAAAGAGCTAATGTAAAGGATCTAAGGGCTCAAGGTGAACTTGTCAAAAAACAAAACAAAATAAAACAAAACAAAGCCAGTGGCCAGAGGGAAGTATATAATCAATTTGGAAACCAAGAACGGGATCATGTCACACTACGTAAGTTTATGTTTTCTTTTGTACAGGTACAAATCCACAAACAATTTACAGCAGAGGTCTATCAAAATATGATTAGCATTTCACAAATACTTTCATGACTGCTTTGTGAAGAATAAATTGCAGATGGACAATAGTGAAAGCAGAGCGACCAGGCAGAGCAATACAGTGATAACCTGGGCAAGAAATGAAGGTGGCTTGAACCAGTAGTTACGAAGCTGAAAGGATTGAATAGATTTGAGATATGTATTGCTGGTAGTCAACAGATGTGCTTAATGATTGAGATATTGGGGAGAATAAAAACAGAAGACTAAAGGATAATGCATAGATTTTTGGTCTAAACACTGGTACCATCTAATAAGATTTGACAGCCCAATGTACTGTTGGGTAAGAGCAGAGGATGGATAAGGAAATCGGATTTTATTTTGGCATGTTAAGTTTGAGATACAAAGTAGATATTTAATTAAATATGTCATGAGGGCAGGTAGATATATGAGTTTGGTATCCAGTGACAGGTAAGGGCTGAAGATAAAATTGAGGAGCCAGCTGATTTAAACTTATATTTTAAATATAACTTGAACTATATTTTAAATCTATGAGTTTAAGTTTCAGTTTTCTTATTAGGTAACTTCCAGAGACATTTTTGAGAGTCAAATGAAGTAACAAATAAAAGTGTTTTGCAAATTACCCTGGGTACAAAGAACAATGGATTAGGAATTAGAAGATAGGAGTTTTAGTCATGGCACTTTCATTGGCTAGTGTTAGCACTTGAGCCAAGATATGTAATTCATTTGGACTGAGTTTCCTTAGTTATAAAATGATGAAATTAGAATCATAAACTTATTGTTCTCTTTCTTGTCTCATATTTGAAAAGAAAAACTTCCCTCTATTGTTGTTAGTTTCCCTCCTTCACTGAGAAGAGCAGGGCCTATAATTATTTAGCTGCAAATTAATTAAACATGTAAACTTTATAATCACTTTATTGAAAAAACATTAAGCTCCTAAATGGAACATTACAAGGACATCTTAACTTTGAGCCAGAGAAAGGACCCAAGAAGCAGACTGAATTCAGTGTCTGTCTGTGCAATTTTGTACTGAAAGTAATCTTGCTTTTCTTATCTTGATTTGCAGTGGCCAGTTAATTTAGGCAAAGTGGATCTGGGAGTGAGGATAAATAATAGTAAGAAAAAGAAAATAAGTATTGGATAGATTTTTTTTTAATCATGAACAAACAGAAGTCTTTATTTCTATAGTTAAGCAAAGCCTTTATGGGTGGAACAAACATTTTAGAAAGCATAGTTAATTTTGGCTGCATTCGTATTTTTCTGTGACCTTGACATTTATATAATCTGGATGCAAATTTGTTATTAGCTTAGAGGACAGGTGAGTATGAACTGGCTAATGGGCAACAGTTTAGAGACCACACAAAGATATTACCAGTCTCTAAGTTCTACATGCCATGCACAGAATCACAAATTTCCAAAGACTAGTTAACTTAGAGCTCAACTTCGTTCCTTTAGGACCAATTATAGACGGCCTTGAACTGATATCTTATGAAAAAACGGATACTATTTTTGTACAATTCTAAATGATAGGTAGTCTCTTTTTCTTCCTTGCATTCTGTTTTTGTTCTTAGAGAAACAAATAGACAAAGAAGTAAACATGTAAACTTATTTGAATATATTGGGTCTTCTGAGAGCTATCCATCTTCATGTTCTTCAAGTATTTGTTATTCAGCTTTCTGCAATACCTCATTAATACAGTTTATCTTTTTATGCATGAGTTCATTTTAGTATTTTACATTTTAAATATGTTAGCCAGAAAGAACTATGATGACTTAGATATTTAATGACAATTGCAGAACTTCGTGGAATGCACCACCTTCAGGATTGACTCAGTGAGCTTGTGTGATTAGAGAGTCCCATATCTTTCTCTTAAGACTGTTGAGCCAGACATTACCAATTGTACACTTTTATAAAGTTTGAACTTTTTTCAGACTTAAATTTCGTAAGTTTCATATATGGCATTTCCTTCAACCTGACCTGTCTCTTAAAAGCTCTGTGTTCATTTGACTCCCATGATCACTAGAATGCAAATCTACTCTTCCTATTCTTTGTGTTGATGAGACTACTGATGGCCAGCGCAGTATTCAAGTCAAGATGTTTTCATTTCAGGGCTTGTCATCAAATACCATTGTGACATATAGTGTCTTTTAATTCTAACCAAACACAAATCAAGCTTTTAGGCTTATTATTTTAATGCATGCATGAGTCGAGTTTTAGAAAACTCTGATCCCTGACAAGCATATTTAATTCTTATTTTTATAACGTAATAATTCCTGTAGTATTGATATCTACTCTTTTTAAAATGATAAAATTTACATTTTCTATGTTACATTTATCCTGGTTTATTTTTGCCTAGGTTCCAGCCATTATATATCATTTGAATATACAATCTGACATCTGTTGTGCTAGCTTGGTCGGTTCTTAAAGTCATACTAAAATGTCTTCTGTCAATCCTTAATGAACTATATAATGAAGAGAAAGCCAAGGAGAGAATTCCATTGACTGTTGAGAGACTTGTCCTTTGCTACTTGGAATCTTTGCTTATGTTCTCAATCCTATTTCTGGATCTTATGGCAGAAGATCCTCGATTCTATGCTTCGTTTTCTGGTTTCATGATGTTATTGTGCAGACACTCTGCCTGGATATGGGTAAATTTACCTGCATATCCCTGAGGTACCATAGGGTTGCATCTCTGATGCAGACTCATTTCATAATTCTAACCATTGAGGAATATCTATCTTTAGATAGCTTTAGGTAACTCCCACCCTGCTCTTTTATTTTCTGTTCCCAGCCAGTAACCTTATGTTTAAAGCCTACCTCTCCTTCTGTGACTAGTGTGCTAGTCTGTCCCGTCATATAGTTCATGTTGATATTGCACCTTCTCTGATGATACATGAAGAATATGGATACTATTAAGTTGTTATTGTTATCACTTCTTTATTTCTAAAAGATTCAGTCTTATTATTAACATAATGTTCATAATAACATGATTACCATCATCAGCTTGGTAGTAGTAACAGCATCAAAAGGTTTAATTAGAGCTAT